GCCTCTGGGATCTCTGTGGCCCCAGCACGTACGTGCCCAGGAGAAGGGAGCTGGCTGTGTGTGTGCTGGGGCGGGGAAGCCGTGCTGGGAGGGGCCCCGCAGCCAGGAGGCCCCTCGCCTGTCCTCCCCAAACAGGAAAAGGGGTAGGATCGCCAGATAACATGCAGAACACACACTTCGATTTAAGTTTCACATAAACAACAAATACATGTTTAACATATGCCATGTGATATGTGGGACATACCTAACCCCCTCCCCCCATTTTTTTTTTTTTAATTAAATTCAAATGTAAACGGGCCTCCTGGATTTTTCCTTCTCTCTGAAGCTGCTAGCCTTAGCAGGGTAGACAGAATCAGCAGGTGCTGGGGGTTTCAGGTCCTGTTTACATGGGTCATTATGTTCACGGTCTTGCCTTTTCCTGCTTCTTAAATGCTTTGGCCAAAGAACAGCGTGCCGCCAGGTGTGGCTGCCTGCACGGCCACTGGGGCACACAGGCCGGGTGCCCCCTGTGTCTCCCCTCCCCCCGGCCTCTGGGTGGGCAGGGAAGGCCATCCTGCGGAGGGCACGCTCAGAGCTGACATCTGAAGGGACCGGCCACACGATGCGGTGCAGCTGGTGGTGGGAATGGACTGGTGAGTCTGAGAACAAGATGGCCAGAGCAGTGCTGCAGGCGTGCGAGGGGCGGAGTTTGCATGGAAAACGTCCTGGACCACACCTCCGCCCACAACACCCGGGCTGTGGGGGGGCCTCCAGGGCAGGGTCTCAGCAGCAGTGAGGGGGCAGGAAGGGAGAGTGTTTGCCATCCCAGGCGGGGGAGTCTGGTAACGTGTGGGGGGGGGGGGGCGGGGGGGGGCGGATCCTGGTGCCTGACTGCAGTTTGGTGGGACCAGCTGCTCCTGGGAATGCCTGGGTGGAGCCATGCGGCCTTAGAGCTCAGACCCCCTGTGGCTGGTCCCCAGGGAGGCAGCCTCCTCCACTCAGAGCCTCGTCCACCCTCTCTCCACCTAAGCAGCCCCCTGCCCCCCCCCCCCCCCCCCCGCACTGCTGGCAGGGTGTGTTCTCCCCTCCGAGGCGGGGGATGGTCCTGAGCGGGGAGGGGAGGACCTAAAGGGCCCCATCCCACCTCCTGGCTTGGAAGGGGCTGGCAGCACCCTCAGGGAGCGAGTTCCCAGCCAGCCGCTGCCCCTCTGCCCACCCCGGAAATGGCTCAGTTCCACGCCCAGCTCACAGGGCATTGCTGCGGCTGCTTGCCTGTTGGCACCCGAAGGAAGCTGTTTCTTAACTTCAAATGCCCACCAACTCCCTCCCGCTGGAAAGCTACCCCCCCAACCACGTCTGTGCTCACGGAGAGGAACACCCGGCCCCTCGGCAGGGGCAGCTGTTTGTGCGGTGGCATCCTCGGGCGGGTTGCCAAGTGTGTTCTCTCGGCAAGGCCCGTTTTGGCCGGGGCCCTCCTGGAGCTTCTGGCCACGCCCGTGGGAAGCCCAGGGCGCGGGGGGCAGGTGGGGGAGGGTGTCCCTCTCTCTCTCTCTCTCTCTCTCTCACACACACACACACACACACACACACCCCGGGCGCTGGCTGAGTCTGGCTGAGGAGTTCCATGGGCTCAGGCAGTTGAGGGTCGGGGCCACGGAGAGGGGAGATGGCAGACAAAGAGGAGATGGTCAGGATGTGAGTGAGACAGGCGGGATGTACCACAGAGCCGCCCCTCCCCTGGGACCCAAGAGCGGGAACTAAAAGCGGGGAGATGGGGCAAAAGGAGATCGGCCGGGGCTTTTTTGAAAGAGCTGCCCAGACCCTGTCCTGTTTGCAGGGGAGACATGGGAGGGTGAACTGCCCCCAGGGCGAAGGCCCCCATCCCAGATGGCTCAGCAACAGGACTGAAGGGCCCGGGGCACCCCTGGTCCGCTCCGGCTCCGCCTGTCCGCTCTGCCCAGGAGCCCTGGGTGATCCTGACTGAGGGAGGAAAGGTCACCTTCCTCCTGGGACCCAACCTCTGCTCCCCACCAGAAGCAGTAACCCCTGAAGTCCGAGGCTAGAAAAGGTTTAGAAATTATCACAGAAAACCTGAGAACACCGGGCCTCCTTAAGCCCTGGAATAGGCCATGCAACTCCCCCGTCTGGGGGTACAACTCCCGCCCCCTCCACCGTCGCCGCACTAGCCAAGCTGATCACCCTACAAGAGCATTAGAGCTTGGGAAGGGCAAGAGAGTCAACATGACTCTAAACATGCTTTCTTAGCCTCCACGCCCATGTGGCCGTCTGGAAGGAAAGACACTTCTTGACCGCGAATGGACCCTCCATTAAATATCACAAAGGGATGGACTGGCTCCTGTCCTGTGTCTCTCCCCTCAGAGGTAGCTGTCAGACATTGCCAGGGTCACCAAAGAGGCTTGGGTGTGGTCACGGAAGGAAACAGGCGAGCTGACCCGGCCGCCAAGGCAGCAGCCTGAGCAGGACCTCGGTCCTTGGACGCCGTAGCGAATGCAGCCTTGAATAATCATTTAGCCCCGATTCCCTCCTGGTCGAACAAGGAGGAGTCTGCATGGTGATACACAGAACCTGCTGCCCTTGTTTCAGGAGCTCCTGCCTCGTGGAGACAAACATAAGGAAACTCCACAAATAAGCAGAGTGGCTGCGCAAGTACAGCCTTCGGGGCCAGGGCACCAGCCGCCGCCCTCTCCCTGGCTGCCTTCCCTTCCTAGGCTCCCGGTTTCTGGAGTTCTCCTCCTACCTGCTGGACCCTGACTTTTTTTTATTTTTATTTTTTTATTGATTTTTTACAGAGAGGAAGGGAGAGAGATAGAGAGCCAGATACATCGATGAGGGAGAAACATCGACCAGCTGCTTCTTGCACACCCCCTACCGGGGGGATGTGCCCGCAATCAAGGTACATGCCCTTGACCGGAATCGAACCCGGGACCTTTCAGTCCGCACACCGATGCTCTACCACTGAGCCAAACCGGCTTCGGCAGGACCCTGACTTTTTAGCTGCTTAGCCGTTGTGCTTTCCTGCCTAGAATCCCTCACGTTACAGGTGGTGATGGACATGGAACCCCTCGTGGATAACTTGGCCTTCCGGAGTCCTCTAGGCCACATGTGTCAAACACAAGGCCCGCGGGCCAAATTCGTCCCGCCAGGCCTTGCAATGTGGCCCGCACCGCGCTGTCATCACTGCACTCCGCTGCGTTTCCATCACAATGACAGTTTATGACTGTTCAGTAAACCATTCGGCCCGCGATTTAGGCTGGATTTTAGATTTTGGCCCCTTCTCTGATTGAGTTCGACACCCCATACTCTAGGCCGTCCTCTCCTGATGGCACTCCGACTGCTGGGCCCCTGACCACGGCTGTCACTCCGTTTCCGCACAGCAGTCAGGGTCACTCCGTCAGAGAGTGTGTGTGTGTGTGTGGGGGGGGGGGGGTGCGTAAGGAGTCAGATGGGGACAGGCAGTTCAGGTAGGGTAAAAGGCCCCAGGGAGGGAAGATGAGATAAGGGGGAGATGAGCCAGATGGTCAGGATTTGAGGAAGACAGGCAGAATGTCCCGTCAGCTGGGAGATGAAGGCAAAAATAGATTGGCTGCCGCTTTTCTGGAAAGAGAGAGAGAGAGAGAGAGAGAGAGAGAGAGAGAGAGAGAGAGAGAGAGAGAGAGAGAGAGAGGGAGAGAGAGAGAGAGAGAAGGCAGGTGCAGGGCATTTAAACTCAGCCCCGTGGCTGGCAAACTCATTAGTCAACAGAGCCAAATATCAAAAGGACAACGATTGAAATTTCTCTTGGGAGCCAAATTTTTTAAAACTTAAACTTCTAATGCCACTTCTTCAACATAGACTCGCCCAGGCCGTGGTATTTTGTGGAAGAGCCACACTCAAGGGGCCAAAGAGCCACATGTGGCTCTCGAGCCGCAGTTTGGCGACCACGGCCCTAGACTAGTGAGCTTTCCAGACAATCCTTTTCTGGGCCCCTCTTGCAGGCCGAGAGCTTTGTGACTTTCGCTGCAATCAACTTGGCTTCCCTTTGTGTATCCCTTCCTTGTCCGTGAATTCAACTTCTAAAGGCACCCAGCAGGTCTCCCTGCCAGGCACTCAACAGGAAAGGGACTTTTGTTCTGAGCTTGTAGGAAGTCTGGGCTGGCCTTGTCATCTACCCACAGCATTTCCTGGAAAAAGTACCTGGCTGGAGCTGCAGTAGGGGCTGGCCTCTAACCTTGGCCTTGGCCTTGCCACCCCCACTCTCCCCCTCCCCCCCAGGTCATGAGAGGTTGGGAAGGACTGATTGGTATCCTTAAGGGATTGGGGAGTCACGTCTGTCTCAGGCAAAGCCCCCAAAGGGGCAGAACATTACTGTGTGTGTGTGTGTGTGTGTGTGTAGGGACAGAACGTTAGTGTGTGTGTGTGTGTGTGTGTGTGTGTGTGTGTAGGGACAGAATGTTAGTGTGTGTGTGTGTGTGGTGTGTGGTGTGTGTGTGTGTGGTGTGTGTGTGTAGGCACAGAACGTTAGTGTGTGTGTGTGTATGTGTGTGGTGTGTGTAGGGACAGAATGTTAGTGTGTGTGTGTGTGGTGTGTGGTGTGTGTGTGTGGTGTGTGTGTGTGCGTGGGTGTGTGTGGAAGGCGGTGTCCTGCTTTCCAGAGGAACATCTCCTTCGTGACTGCAACGTGGGCAAGGCCCGGGCTCTGCCCGACACCTAGTGCCACCTGGGACCAGGGCGGGGCGAGGTCCAGGCAGGAGGTGCGGGGAGAGGAGGGAGGGAATGGGGAGCGCGGAGCCCAGGCCCAGGCCGCTCCTTCCCGGGCACCGGCCGCCCGCCCCGCCCCGCCCTCCCTCCAGCTCGGCCCGCGGCTTCCGAGGAGCCGGGGCCCAGAGGCCCCCCATACCCACGGGGTCGCAGGTCACCGTGCGCCCCCGAACGTGGAGACCCGGATTAGGTGGTTACCTGCGCTGGGTCTGAAAGGCCGTGGCGGGACCCAGGCGGGGGCTGGGGTGTGCCAGGACCCGGTCCTGAGGCCCGGGACCATGGGGGGCCCTTCCGGACCCCGCGGCCCCCTCGCCGGACCTTCCTGGCGCCGCCAGCCCGCGCCGCCAGCCCGCGCCGCCCGGTCGCCATGGCGACGCCGCGGCCCGAGGGCGGCGCCGGCGGAACCGGCGGAGCAGCCCGGGCGGCGCGGGCGCGGCGGCAGGTGGGCGGCGCGGGACCAGCTCGGGGCCGGCGCCCGGCCAGGTAGGCGCCCCGGCTGGGGAGGCCGCCCGCGAGGGTCGGGAGGGGCTCAAACAGGTGCGCGGGCGGAGGGCCGGGGCGGAGGGCACCGGGTGGGGGCGGAGGGGGCGGGCAGGTGCGCCCCGGCCGCGCCCAGCAGGCCGGGCTCCGGGGCGCAGTCCGGCGGCCTCCCCGCCGGCGCACCTGTCGCTCCCCGGGCTCCCGGACCTCCGAGCGCGGCCGCGGGCAGCGAGCTCGTCCTGCTCCTTCCCGGGCGGCGGTCCCTGCGGCCGGCCTCCTCCTGCCAGGCTCTGCGGAAGTTGGGTGGAAGGGCCTGTGGCTGAACGGGGCCATGCCCCCGGCCGCCCGGGTGGAGGAGGTGGAGGACAGAAGTGATCCACCACCGGCTGGTCTGAAACCCGGAGCGGAGGCTGCCGATGCGTGGCCCCGGCGGGCCTGGGTGGGCCCTGCATTGTGGGCATCGGAGGTGCAGGCTGGGCCAGGCAGGCCTTGGACACCGGGGGCTGGCAGGGCACCACCGCCAGGGAGCCACGTGGAGCCTGCGGCCTGGCAGGTCCTCGGAGGCTGGCGCCCCTGCCGCACCCCTCCCCCCAGGGCCCGCCCCTCTCCTCGCGTTCATTCTGCCTTGGTGGTCGTGGGAATTTTCTAAAGACTCATCAAATGAAGCTCAATTCTGTTCCTGTATTTCCAGAGAGAGAGAGAGAGAGAAAAAAAAAAAGCTTTGCCATCTTCTTGTAGGAACCTTGGTTTCTCCTGTGAAACTGGACTGAGGCAGAAAATATAAGTAGCATGTAAATGTCAAGATGAGCCCCGTACAGAGGAAGGGCTGCTGCTGCCACCTCACCCCAGTGTGGGAGGGGTTCCCAACCCAGAGTGCAGCCACCGCCTTGTCCCGCTGTTCCCCTGGGCAGGCGGAGCTTGGGGTGGTTCAGCCAAAGTAGAAGGAGTTGGTGGGAGAATCACCCCAGATCCTGGGGCTCCCCTCAGTGTGGCTGATGACGGACAGCGGGGAGTGTGGACTCATTAGAGGGGGATCTTGCTGCTGACACCACTCGGGGGCCAACAGCTTTAGCCCCACACCACGGGGGCCAACAGCTTTTGAAACGTGGCTCTTCCTACTGAGCCCAGACTTAGCTTTTGTTCCATTGCTGTTGCCTGAATGCCTGCTGCCTGGCAGGCAGTGTGCGGGGCTCGGGCACAGGCCGATCCCACCGAACCTTTGCTTCGGGCCAGGAAAGGGAGCTCCGTGTCCTCCTCATGGACAGGGAAGCGGGCTCAGGGGAGCCGGCCGCCTGGAGCACACGGTCCTGGCCTGGGGCTCTGAAACCACACGTCTGCGCGGGGCTCACTGTGACTCCCAAGGCTGAGGGCTTTCGCCTTTGCGGACCCCTTCCTCCATAAAAGTGGAAGTAAATAAACAGGATATTTTATGACTGTGTTGGTGTAAAGACAAGTATCATCCAGACTGGATCAAAAGTTAAAACATTTTCTTCAACCCTAAAAATTTTTCCTCCTGATTTTAACAGAAATCAAGACTTTTTTTTTGTGTGTGTGGGGGGGAGAGGGATAGGGAGTCCCCCTACAAGTCATGGAGTCCCAGCACGGAGTCCCCTGTACCTCACGGAGACCTGGACTCCGTGTCCGACTTCCAGCTCTGCTTCTTCCTGGGGCTCCCGGGAGGCGGGCTGGTCAGAGAGTGCCTACCTCACAGCGCAGCCCTCCGGTGGCCTCTCCTCCATCACAGTCCAGGACGGCGGTCGCCCACCTTTCGGACCGCCAGTGGCCCGCAGACCACCGGTTGGAGACCACTGTTTTAGGACGCCCGAGGACTAGCATGTCAAACTCACGCCCGGCAGGCCGCATGCCTCATTTACCCACCCCTCTCCCCTCACCCATCAGGAAAAGCCCCAGCCCCAGCCCCAGCACAGTCTGCTGTAACTCAGTTAAAGCCCTGCTGTCGATAAGAAGGGCAGCTGCCAGGCCTAGGACGTGCGCAGTGTCTGGTCCCCGCAACGAGATTAGGCCCGGTGACCTTTTAACGGAGCAGCGGGCGCGGGAGGGAGCGTGATGCTCAGCAGGTTGGAGCCCCGAGGGCTGCTCCTGTCGCTGCTGATTTCACTAAGTGGCGTCTGACGCAGGTGGACATGGTGGGGGGGGGGGTGGCTGCTGAGGGGCCGCCAGGGATCGGGCGCCACATCCTGTGCTCTGACCATGTGAGGGGCCCCCTCCGGCTCATAGACTGGCCTGGGCAACAGAAACCTTTGGGATGGAGAGTGGCTGCTTCCGGGCCCCTGAAGCTGCTGCCCACATTTCGTGCTGGGAACAAGGGAGGCCCAAGAACTGCCAGAGTTCTGGGGGGGCCAGCCCAGCGAGGGAGGAAGGACGAAGAGTGTCTTTGCTCTCCCCGTTGGGGAATGAAGAAGCGTGACCCCGAGGCATTTGCTTACGAGGGAGAGCATCTCAAATGGTGTCAAGGGTTCAGATGCAACCGTACTTGTGGGTAGGTCAGATTCCACCCAGCCTTGAGGTGTCTACTCTGACACCCCCCCTCCCCCCCCCTCCCACACACCCTCTTTAAAAAAGATCGGTTGTCAGTCAGTTTTGTTGAACCAAATAAGCAATGGGGAAATGCCGTTGCCGAAGGCATCCCCCAGTTCATCGTCTGTAAGACACAGAAACACTTACTGCTTTGTCTTTTCTGCAAATCTGGATTTCATGCTTAGATCTCATTTTATGCTGAGGCAGCAAGGCACAGGCCTGGTCTTGCTTGGTGTGAGTTTTCCTGTCACCCCTCATAGCTGGGCTGAGAATCACCCTCAGATTGGAAGGGGACGAGGGAAACAGACTGGGCCTCCGTGGTGCCAAAGGGCGTCCTTGTCTCCCGCTGGGAGCCCAGCTGCCGGGGTCCGCGCGGACCCAGAGGGCTGCTGTGGAGCATTCCACACGGAGGTCTTGATAGGAGCCTTCCTGCCATCCTCCTCCCCTAACCTGCTCTCCCCACCCTTCAGCGCCCAGGAGCACCCGTGGTCATGTGATTAAAAGTCAAACTGCCTTAGGAGCATGCTCCCACCAGGGCAGTGGTCGGCAAACCGCGGCTCGAGAGCCACACGCAGCTCTTTGGCCCCTTGAATGTGGCTCTTCCACAAAAGACCACGGCCTGGGCGGGTCTGTTCTGAAGAAGTGGCGTTAGGAGAAGTTTACGTGTAAACAATGCGGCTCTCCGAAGACACGGCAGCCGCTGTCCTGCTGGTGCTTGGCTCTGGGCCTGAGGAGTTTGCCGGCCACTGGCCCGGGTGCGAAGGACTCGGGAGAGACTGCCGTGGGCCCTGCCCCAGAGCACCTTCCTGGGCAGCTCCCACTCGGATCCGGATTGGCTTCGGCGTTTGGAAAGAGTGACAGCTGTGCCCTAGAGACTGGGCATCGGAGTGGCAAAGTCACAACACCCACAGCCAGCCAATCCGGGGCGAGCGGGGGAGCACTGAGCCTTTCCGGGAGCACTCTAGGAACGAGTGTGACCTGGGGCTGGAATTCTTCCGGCCCGTCCACTTTAAAACCCGTGTCTGCTCCGCAAGGTAGGGCCTCTCCCGTGCAGATCCGGCTCCAGCAGGGCGTCCCGCACTGAGGAGGCGCTCGGCAAACAACTGAGTTGAGCAGCTACTCGCCGCTGATATTATAATTTTGGGGGCGTCCTTTATCCTCTGAGCCCCATTTCATCCGTCAAACGGGGATAGTCATGGGGTTATTGCAAGGGTTACGTGGGAGGACGCGGGAGGTGCTGAGGACAGGGCAGGGGTTGCCTGTGACGAACCCTCTGCCCTCCCCAAGCACGCCTCCCCCCTGCACTGGCCGCATCGCCACCCGGGGCTCTGAGCTCCCGCTCTGCTCGGCCGGCCACCCCCTCTGTGAGAGAGGAGGGGCAGGCCCGGGGCCAGAGCAGGTCCTGCTGTCCCTCCTAATTCAGAGCTAATCAGATTCTGGCGGCCGGGCTCTCAGGGGCGAATCTAATAAAGGACAGGCCGGCGTTTCTCTGCAGCACATTTTCCCGTTGGCGTTGGGCAAGGCATAGACCCAGCACACAGGAGAGTGAGGCCTCCAAGGAGCTCCCAGGGCTGTTGGCAGAGAGGCCGCGGGAGCACGGAAAGCAGGACCCCAACAAGGGTGAGTGAGCGCCAGGCCGGCCCTGGGGACAGGGAGGAGGGGGTGGAGTGCTGAGCACACACCATTTCAGGTTCCAGGTTGCGGGGGGGGGGGGGGGGGGGGGGGCTGCGGGAGGGGCAGAGGGGCAGGTGCGGGAGGGGCAGGGGGGCAGGTGCGGGAGGGAAGGGGGGCAGGTGCGGGAGGGGAAGGGGGGCAGGTGCGGGAGGGAAGGGGGGCAGGTGTGGGAGGGAAGGGGGGCAGGTGCGGGAGCAGGGATCGGTGCACGGGTGTGAGGCGGGGAGTCACAGGTTGTGTCGTTAGCCCAGAACAGTGACCGTCTCCAGTGGACGGGGCTGCGGGGGAGCCTGAGGGAGGGTCATGTGACGGAGCTGGCATTTCCCTGGCCGTCCCTGTGCGGTCAGACAGACTGGAGCGGGGAGAGCGATGGGGCAGAGGCGCGGTGCCTGGCTTAGGCTGGTGACAGTGAAGACAAAGGAGATGGCCAGGAGGGACGTGATGGGGAGAGGCCTGGGGGGCCCCGGATGGGGCGGGCTGTCCGCGCTGGCTCCCTGGGCGGTCGGAGAGGAGTGTGTGCCAGGATGTCCGGGCAGAGACGTTAGGGGACAGTGCGAGGTGGGGTTTGGTTTGGGGGGAGGACAGAGCTGGCACTGGCTGTGGGAGTCAGGTAAGGACAGAGGAGGGAGATCCAGCAGAGCTTCCCGTGGGCCGGGGTTTCTGACTCGGGTGTTCCCACCACCACGGCAGTGTGTCTGGGAGATGACCTGACACAATGTGCCTAAGACCTCCTTAGGAGGACCTAACCTGGTCCTCCCCCACCCGGGACTCCACGCCCCAGGTCGGCGTTCCCTAGCAGGTGTGCAAAGAACCCTGAGGGCTCGGGTTTAACAAGTGAACAGCCGCCCATCGTTAAGTTAGAAAAGCAAGCTGGCCTGGCCGGCGGTGCAGCCAGTGGGGTGTCGTGTCCTGTGTGCCAACAGGTGGTGTGTTCCATTGCCAGGCAGGACACCTACCCAGGTTTCGGGTTCAATCTCGATGTTTCTCTCTCCCTCCCTCCCTCTCTCCCTCCCTCCCTCCCTCCCTCCTTTTTTCCCTCCCTCCCTCTTTTATTCTCTCTCTCAAAACAATACAAGCATATCCTTGGGTGAGGATTACAGACAGAAAAGCCAGGTGAAATTGGTGTGATCCCGTTTCCATCAAAGACTGTGCGTGCATTTCTAGAAGAGGATGTAAGGGTATAAGTGAAAATGCCGCTTTGTAGGTGTTCTCTTCGCTCATTTGTATCTACTGTAGGCAGTGTGTGTTACTAACTCCTTCCTGTCAGGACAGCGGCACTCCCACCGAGCTGCGCTCAGAAAACGGGGGTGGGTGTGGGGGGGGCTGGGGACTGGAGAGGCTGATGAGCACGCATTCGCACAGAGTGAGGGGTGTGGGATGTGGGGTGGCAGAGAGGGGGGCGGCAGGGGGCGCCTTGGGGGGCCTGGGCCGTGTCATTTGGAGGTGGCGGTGATCCCCTGAGCTCTGCTGTCTTTCCCGCAGCTGCTGCCTCAGCATGGAGAGCCGTGCCGGCCCCCGCCCTGGAGGGCTGTCCTACTGTGTGGCTTTCTCCCAGCTGCTGGGCCTCACGGTGGTGGCGGTGACCGGCGCCTGGCTGGGTCTGTACCGCGGAGGCATCGCCTGGGAGAGCGACCTGCAGTTTAACGTGCACCCGCTCTGCATGGTCATCGGCCTGGTCTTCCTGCAGGCCGACGGTGAGTCCTGCTCCCCGGAGCCGCTCCGAGGGGTGCCCTGTGCCCCGCCACCCCTGCCGTCTGAGATTCTGGAGAAGACAGAGGAGCCCGGAGACATGGGTGGTGGCTCCTGCTCTCCCCCTTTCCAGCCGGTCCCAGCGCTCCCATCTCTGGCTTCAGTAAGGAGCCCCCGGGGGGGGGGTGGGTGCCCTTGGCAGGGAGGAGCCAGGGGGAAGACTGAGTGTGCTTGGGGCTGGGGAGGAAGGCCGGACAGGCCTCTCTCCGGGTAGGAGCGAGGCCCCCACTGCCTGCCGAGCGGACGGTTTGAGGTCCCTCACAGCCATAGGGGAGCTCAGAAGTGGGGCATCTCCGTGTGGCTGCAGGATGAACCTGGAATACACAGGATGCCTGACCAGGAGGTGTCGGGCCAGGGGGTGGAGCCAGCTTTCTCCTCCATGTCCTGCGGCTGGCGTACCTGGACGAGCCCTTGACTCTCAGATGGGCGCTCAGCCTCGGGGTGCCTCCTGGCTGCTCTGGCAGGAAGGCCGGTGCCGGCGCTGACTGCCTCTCACTCCCACAGCCCTGCTGGTTTACCGCGTCTTCAGGAACGAGGCCAAACGCACGACCAAGATCCTGCACGGACTGCTGCACGGCTGCGCCTTCGTCATGGCGCTGGTGGGTGAGTTCCTGCGCACGGCCCGCCTCCCTGCCTTCCGGCGTCCCAGGCGGGGCGGGGACGCTGGGTGCTGGGACAGGAGCCCAGACGCCCCGGCCGGTCTGCTTTCTCCTGGGCCACCTGGCCCTCTCCCTCCCCCTCTGGCCCATCCTCTCCCGCAGGCCTGGTGGCAGTGTTCGACCACCACAGGAAACGGGGCTACCCCGACCTGTACAGCCTGCACAGCTGGTGTGGCCTCCTCGCCTTCGTTCTCTACGTGGTGCAGGTGAGTCCTTTCCGCCCCAGGGGGCAGGGCAGGCAGAGGGTGGGGAGGAAGGAGCGAAGACAGTGCGTGTGTGCCCTCAGCTGAAAGCCTTTAGTCTTTAGCACAGCGGGGTGCAGCGCTCAGGTTCTGAGGTGGGTTCAAGCCAGGATGTTAGGGGTGAGGGGCCTCGGGTCCCGGTGCCCTTCCAGCTGACACCCACGCAGTCTGGCCAAGGCCCAGCCCCCCGAGGGTGCAGGGATGACGAGGGAGGCCAGGCCCGAGGTCAGGATCTTACCTGAGTGCTCAGCGCTCCCCCCGCCGCTCTGACGGCGGAGGGAACCGGTGGGTGGGCGAGGGGCTCCCGTCCGGCTCGGTGGGCCGACGGCCAGCGTGGCCCCCTCCTCGCCGTCCCTTCCAGTGGCTGGTGGGCTTCAGCTTCTTCCTGTTCCCCGGAGCTTCGTTCTCCCTGCGGACCCGCTACCGCCCCCTGCACATCTTCTTCGGCGCCTCCATCTTCCTGCTGTCCGTGGGCACAGCCCTGCTGGGCCTGAAGGAGGCGCTGCTGTTTAAGCTCGGGTGAGTGTCTGCCGCCCCCCAGCCCCCCAACCTCCGCCTTCTGAGCCAGCTCCCTCTGGGGCGTGACCCCCGTGGCTCTCTCCGGCTGGGGGCGGGAGGGGCGGGCTCGGAGGGAGGCATCCTCCTGGCTGGGCCGTGCACGGCCGTGGCCTCATGGTGACCTGGGGAGGCTTCTCCCCCCACCCTGACCCTGCAGGACCAAGTACAGCACGTTTGAGCCCGAGGGCGTCCTGGCCAACGTGCTGGGGCTGCTGCTGGCCGGCTTCGCCCTGGTCGTGCTCTACATCTTGACCCGCGCCGAGTGGAAGCGGCCGCCCCAGGCCGAAGAGCAAGCCCTGTCCATGGACTTCAAGACGCTGACGGAGGGCGACAGCCCCGGCTCCCAGTGACAGGCTGCCCAGGCCCTGCGGGGGCGGCGGGGCCGGAGCGCGGGGCCTCCTCTGGTCCCCGTTGTCACAGCTGTCTCCCCCACAGCCCCGGGGGCTGCCTCCCAGATTGCTGGCTCCCGGGATGCTGGGCACCGCAGGTGGGAACCGGCGTGGGAGGGCTCCGTGGGGGCAGCCTGCCTCTTTGAGCAATGGTTTCCGGGTTGTAGGGCTTGGCCACCTCTGCTTCCCCCTCCTCACCGATGCTTTAGTGCCCTGTTAGTCATGCGCAGACCCTGCCCCTGGTGTCCCCATCACCCCTCAAACGGAGAGGCTTGGAGTAGGCGTTTGGGTGGCTGCAGAAGCTCAGACCCTGAAGGAGTCAGAGAGCGGCCCCCCCAGGAGAGGCAGTGACGAGGGCAGAGCCCGAGGGCTGTGGGGGAACCGGGGCCTCAGCGACAGGCCCGGCAAAGCCAAGACTCGCTTTGTGTAACTGAACTCAAGCCAGGAGTCTCGTTAGACTGGGGTTTGGCAGTGGAGCCTGTGATCCTATCTGTAAACTATGTGGGGGTTCGGAGTGAGGCTCCCCTGGAGAGGGGCGGGGCTGGCCCCTGGGAGGCTCTGGAGCGGGCTCCCGCCCAGCTGTGCTCTGGAGCCTTCCCTTCTTTAGCTCCTTGGCCGCTGGATGGCTGGGCGGGGAGAGGGATGGGGCACAGACAAGCCTTCCCCGGCAGCTGAAGAGGAGGGAGCGGCCCCTGCTAGGCTGCTGGGCGTGGTGGCTTACCTTGCAGCTCAGCCTGCGGCTCCCACTGTCCATGCTCCCCAGCCAGGCAGGCACTGCTCTGACCAGGGGCTGAGGGCACGGCCTTTTCATAAATGAGAAGCTGCTCCCCCCGCCCCTTTCCCTTTCAGCAGGGAGGTGGGCTGCCCGCTTCTGTTCGGGAGGACAGCCCATCTGCCCTGACCTGCCAGGGCCCGTCTCCGCAGGAAGCGGGGACCCCCCAGCCCCACACATGTGCTGTGCTGTGAGCTGAGTCACCGTTTGGCTTCGGTTTAGAAATAACGTGATTAGAGCATCGATCTTGTGCTGCTTGGACCTGGCGAGTGCTCGCTCCTTGTTTTGTTCATTTTCTGGGCTCCGAGGAGCATGACACAGTTCCAGACAGACACAGTTCACTTAAATGATGACGCTAATAACATTTCCAAAGCCAGCGTGTGTGCTTTGTTAAGCGTTGCCCTTTTCACGGCCCCGTGCTGCTCCGTTTCTGACCCCAGTGCCGCCTCCGCGAGGCCCCTTCTCAGCAGGCGGCGGAGGCCAGCGCCCTCCCCCGCCGGCTCCCCCCGCCCGGCGCCTCCCCTGCAGCCTGCCTGCACGAGGGCGTTGGCCGTTTAGATTGCACTCAGAGGGGGCCCCGGGCTTCATCAGTTCTGTCACCACCGAGCACACACTTGTGTAGTCAATGTTTACACGTGAGGAAGCTCCACCTTAGACAAACTATTATACCAAAGGAAGCTGTGTCTGTCCCCTGCCCAAAGGCCGCAGAGAGAAACGGAGGTGAGAAAAGCCCGTAAACCAGTCTGTTTGCCAGAGTGTATGTTGGGTGACTAGGGAGCCAAAAACCCCAGAAGCTGACCCGGTAGTTTATCGTGTTTTGCCTGTGGCCAGACTTTTGTGAACGCTAATGTAGTGCTGATGCAACAGGAGATTCAATAAATGTCTACAGCAGACATCTCCCCGCTGTCGTTGTTTATTGTGGCGATAAGGAGCCAGTGCTTTGGGCAGTCAGGTACGTGAAGGCAGCTGCTCTGCCGGGTGGAGAGAAACAGGATGTCCCCAGGCGGGCACACAGGCTCAGAAACAGCCCAGACCTGCCCAGGCACAGGCCTGGGGCGGGGGGGGGGGGGGGGGGGGGCTCTTCCCTGTGATGAGGGAAGCCCCCCTTTCTCACCCCTCGAGGGGCCTGCACGATGGAGCTGTAAGGGGCTGGTAAAGGCCTCAGCAAGACGTTTCTGCCAGTATTCCACTAACCTTTTTCTTAAAAATAAAATAAAATAAAATAAAATAAAATAAAAATTTAAAAATGCCTCTTTGGGAACTGAGGTCCCGGGATCTCACAGGATGGAATATACTGCGTGCTCCTGAAAAGCTCTGTCACTTAAAACGACCCCCCAACTTAGCTCACCCCATGGGGACCCTGCAGCAAAGCCTCTGAGGTGGTCACAGTCCTTTGTTGACACAAATTCTTCCTAACATTTCCTTCCTTTGCAGTGCGGTGTCTGAGCCAGAGCTGCAGAGGTCTCTGCTTTATGCAGCTGAAGTCTTTCTCTGAATCAAGGTTCTCCGAGGACCTTCATTTGCTTAAAAGCATGCAAAGCACGTTGCTGGATACACAGCTGAGCTCAGTCAGGGTCAGGGCTGCGGGCTCTCCGGGCGGCGGCAGAGGCACCCTGACTGAGTGTGCCCTCTCTCTGGCCTTTGTGCGAGCCCCTGAGACGGAGGGGTCCCTGTGTGTGTGGACATTTAAAGGGCCCAGACAGGGTGACGCCCCTCCCTCCAGTGTCACTCCTTCACCTCCTCGAGAGGGATCCACCTCCTCAAGGGCCTGGAAGCCCCCCACGTGCCAAAGTGACCCCTCTTGACTGCGGCAGAGTTGTTTCTCCAACGGAGCACAAAGCAGTGTTTTCCAAGCGTCCTCCATGACCCGCTGCCTTGTTCAGGTTGCTTGCTTCTTGGGTCACCTCCTGAGCACGTGGACAGCCTGGCACAGGGAAACCGTGCAGGCAGGTCTGAGCCGGTCCCACCTTTGCCTGTGTCAATTAAAGTTCTCAGGATCTGCTTTTGCATTTGTTTTGGAGAGAATGCTGCCTTCTGCCAGAGGGTATGTGAAGAACAATTAGAGAACACGTCTAGTCCCTATCCACAGCATCTCCAAACAGCCCATCACCATAGGCTCTGAACAAGGCCTCTCTGTGGGACCTCCCCTCTCACCACCGGCTCTCAGACACAATACACTTGTGATGAGTGTCCCATCCTCGTTCCTGGGAACAGACACACTCAGTCCCCAAATTTCTCTAGCCTCCTCCAGCTCCCATTTTCAAAGCCGAGAGGATGAAATGTGTGCCGCCCCCCATCTCTGCCTGTGGAAGGGGGTCTGGCTACCACGTGGGCGCATGTGCAGCGGTGCATCGCGCCACGGGAGCTGCTGACGGGCGCCCGAGGGAATGGAAATAAGGGGAAGACGGTCTGACGAAGGACTTCTGGGATTGGACAAAGACCTTGCTGTTGCTGTTTCTTTAGTCAGGTTCAGGGTAAGCTCCTTTTTAAGAATTAGCAAAATAGGAGTCACTACCTTCACCTTTCTTCCAATGTCCCAGGCATCCTTAAAAAGCTCTTTTTCCCCTCTTGCCAACCTTACTCATCTTATTTTTGTGTTTTAATGAGTTTACCTGGCTGCTCAGGAATGGCTTTCAGATGAGCCCTCTCCTCTCCCAACAGTCCTGGCGTCCAGGCCGGGATGGCCGTCACCCCTGGTCTCCTGCTGCCCAGCTTTGGTCGTGTGGGGGGAAACGGAAGTTGCTACCCAGCAGGCATGTTTGTTCAGCACAATCCGGTGTCTAGAGGAAGTGGTCTCCTTCCTTGCTTGTCCCTAAAGTAAACAGAGGTAGGAGCTAGGCAGGAAAGGTGGCCGGACTCAGTGCTGGCCACTTTGTAAGCAAGACAAGGTGTCTCCACAGCCAATTTCAGGAAATCTGCAGCCTCTCCATTCACAGGGCATCTGTCTAGCTCTCTGCATGGCGAGGACTGGAATTTCCGGCCAGATTTCTGGAGAAAACATAAAGCCACTGAAGGCAGTGGGCTCCCAGCGCTGACCGAGCCAGCCCTGGGACAGCTAGGGCTGCCCCCTACTCTCGGGCCTCTAACCTAACAGCTCTCACTGGGTTTGGGGGTGGTAGCTGGATTGGGAGCAGCCTCACCTCAGCTATTCACATGGCCCGAGGCCAGTGCGCTTGGGGAGGCTGGAGAAGAACCTTCCACTGAAGAAAAAGCCTCCCGTTCTCATCAGACGCGGTGAGCCTCGGCGGACAGGCCCTCCGACGGCCTTTTCTGGTCCACGGTTCTCCAGGGCCTATCCGTGTCCAACTCCAAGGAGGTGCTCAAGCACTTCAACCAGTGACCACAGCTGGAAGGGGTGATTCGGAAGGTCTCACACGAGACCGCCCAAACCATCTCACATTTGGCCTTCGCCTTAACCCGCCAGGGTCGTCCTCGGGAGCTTCCTCGGCACTGCAGGCCTCAGTGAGGGTGAGCTTGAGCCAGCTCCCTGGAGAGGCACGGAAGGAGAAAGCACCACAATGCCACGGTTTTCCAAGTGTTACCCATTTATAAATAAGTACATTTGCTTTCATACATACAGTTCATTGTACAGATGGCGATCTGTATACATGGGCAGGAAAATGCATTCACTTAAACTTTTCACATCTATCTCACACAGCTCACATGTACAGACAATAAAACTGCTCAAGCAAGTACAGCAAAGGAAATGCCTTCCTTATACACAGGGGGCTAGACGCCTCTGGTGAGTGTGGGACTCCCCACGGCACAAGTTCACAACTGTGTGGTGTTCAATATATCAGGATAGAGAACAAACATGCATTGGATAATATATACTGTACAGAGAAAGTCCTTTACATCTGAGTTATAGAAAACCTAAAGGAAAACTAAGTGCATTAAAGCTTTTTCCAGCAAGTGTCTTGAAAGGACAGCAAAAGGAGGAAGAATCAAAATCATATTAGTACAAATCACTCTTTAATTGTAGACTGTACAGGTTCTGTACTAATTGAAATCATCTTGGATTTGGAGGAGACAGAACAGAGACAGAGATGCTGTGCTGTACGGAAGGGAGGCCACGCCGGAGAACGGCACCCGTCCTGAGCCTGACAAGGAGCCGGCCCCACTCAGCAGGAATCAGCCGAAGGAAAACAAAAACAAAAGAGAGAAACAAAGCCAGAACAGGAAGTGTAACTTACAGATTCCCAAAATAACCTGTGAATGAAGTAGAGATCTAGAGCCAGCGTTTCTAACTTTTTTTCCAGTTAAGTTGGTACACAATAAGGCAGGTACATTCAAGTACTGAATTTTCCAGAATTAACTCTGTCTGGTCCCGGGGACAGAAGGGATTGAGTTGAGTCCCCCTAACCAAGTGTTTTGGTTAGTGATTAGGCAAAAGAAAAAAATCCAGCCAGCAAGTGCTAGAAAAACAATGCAGCTAGGCTCCTTCCTGTCCACAGAGTAGGTCTGTCTGAAAAAACACAAGCGATGCTGGCCTGCATCTATACGCATCCAGCTAAAACCTGACGGGTCAGCTTAGTGGAGAGATCACGGAGTCAGCAGGAGGAAATGAGATGAGGTGGGTGAGGAAACATGAAAGTAACACTTGATTTTTGGTGTCCAATTATGCGTTCATTTGGTACTGACTTTCAAAGCTCTGACTGTGGCCATCATGTGGCCACAGGCATCTCAGGGTGGCTCAGCTGCTGTGAGGCATTGGACACCGAAATGCAGGTTACCGACACTTCAGCCCTTGAGTGGTCTGTTATAAAAGGAGTTGATGAAGACCTGGTGGTGATTCAAGTAGCGCTGCACATGGCTCCACCAGCCCCATTGTGCTTGTGTCCAGGCCCCCAGCCAGCCACCTGTTCTTGGGAGCAGCCAGAGCTGAGTTCAAGGCATTGCATGGTGAAGGTTTCCATGACACGTCTTTGTAGGTAGCTCTTACCCTAAGCCCTTTGTTCATTGTTGTCAGTCATGGTAGATGGTCAGTCTGGAATTCCTAAAGGAAAGGGAGAAAAAGCCACACCTCCCAATGCACATGCAACAGGGCAGCGCCCGCCTCTGTGCGGGAGCAGCAGCGGGCGGCTCTGCAGGTTAGCTTGGGAAGTGGGCAGCCCAGGGACGGAGAGGCAGGGTGGGGGAGACTGGGACAGGGATAGGCACATCCTGACCCCCCAGGAGAGCCTGTTCCATTTTGTGGCAAAGATTCAGTGACCAACTGGTTTTGTCCAAGGCATTTCTGCAGTAGAAAAATAACTATCTTTGAATCAAACCATCCAACTATGACACCTCTGGAGTTAAGAAAAGTTGGAGGCCAAGAGGGACTGAGATGGGTGCTCACGGGGAAGAAGGGGTCTTCTACATACCCATCCACCCACCAGAGCAAGGGAGCGCTGGCCAACCTTCTCCCAGCCTCTGCCTGGCTGAAG